CTAAACATGATGTAAATTCTGTATGCATTTATCACATGAACTTCAATAGCAAATAGGATTTGAGGCAAGTGAAATCAATATTCAGCCATAAGTGTCTCAGGAGTTGTGCTTCTAAGTTTCAAATCTTATTTGCTTAGCTGTGTATGGGGGTTTGGCATTAAGCTTGCTGAATACTTCAGCATGACCAGCTTTAAAATGTAACTAGGTACCACATCTCTCACTGAACTGGGTTCTTTCATGGGCATTGTTCTTGCAGTGATCTGTTTTTTCAACTCATTGGCTTCTTCAGTGCAAAAGGCTGCTGAATAACCCTGGCAGCAGGAGCATCTGCATTATTTTGGTAGAAGCTAAACTCATCCAGCAAGAAGTAGGGGGTACAATGTTTACCAGGGTGCCCGTTGGGGGACCTAGAAATAATGGCCACAAACTAGAAGAGAGAGGATTCCGATTAGACATCAGGAAAAAATTCTTTAGTGAGGGTTGCCAAAATATGGAACACGCTTCCAAGGGAGGTGGTGCTGTCTCCTTCCTTAGAGGTATTTTAAAAGGAGATTTGATAGACACCTGGCTGGAGTCATCTGACCCCAGCACTCATTCCTGCCCAGGGCAGGGGGTTGGACTTGATGCTCTAATAGGTCCCTTCCGATCCTAACATCTATGAAGCCTCAGATGCAGGAAACTTCTTGGAGCACATCAATAGCAGTCTGAAACAACAAAATACATTGTCCTTTTTTGCTGCTTACAGATGGTTTTGAAGGGTGTCTTAAAATATGAGGTGCAAACAACATTGATCCCTGCAATGATTTTAGCAGCAGCACAGGAACATGTTTGTTTCTGCTTTGGGTTTCCGATTTAGCTTCTGTATCGCACAAAAGATAGGGCTCTTTTAGCAGGCCCAAAACTACCTCGGAAAACCAGAGAAAGCAGTCATCCTGGAATGACCTCAGTAGTATGGTTACTAGAGAGGGAGGTGGGATGGGTAAGACTGGAAGTATACCATAATACCTCCTGGTCCATAGCTCCAGCCAGCTATCATAACCATCTTGTGCGTGACAAGCTTTTCTTGCCCTTACTGCCTGATGAGTTCAGTGTTCCTGTGTATGATGTACAGAAGAAAAAAGAATCGCTGAAGGAAGGGGTTGGGGCAGTCTCCTTGCTGTGCCTGCCTTCACATCCTATGAAAGGGTCTGTGCTGTAGGGAGGGTGTGTCTTGGAAACTCCCTGTGGTCTCATTTATTTCCTAGTCAAAAAGTGTTCATCTTTACCCCTGGCCCTGGCCACGAAGGGGGTATGAATCTCCAAGCTGTAGAAAGGGAGTCAGGAATATGAACTTCAGGCTGTATGTGGAGCTCCTTGGATTAAGCTAGTTACTTTCAGTTTCATCATTTCCTGAAGAATCCTAATTTAGTTCAAGTGCACAGCCCTTGATGTGTCCTGCTTGATTATAGCCAAAAAAGGCAACTCTTTGGAGTAGCATTTACAGGAAACTCTGTAATGGAGGTTAGAGTACAGCTGTTGCCTTGCCAAACCTGATACAATCACGAACACAATGAACACTCAAGTTCCTTTTTTTTTCTTTGCTTGAACCCCTTGGTTTGCTTAGGACCTGCAGCAAATATCTACAGCTGTCTGAGGTTCTCAGGACTTCTGGCTGAATCACCAGTCTTCTTCAACTTATTTTGTAGTCTCTGAGACCACTTGTCTTGGAGTGTGGTCTGGTGCTATAAGTGTTTGACAGCAGGATGAAAGAGGCCCGCGTTTCAATGATGATCTCATCTATAGGCATGTGCTGGCCAGCTAGCATGAGATTGCCAAAGCTGTTACTCAACTTCTGCATCTGGCCAGTGGTAGGTAGTTTCTTTGGTGCCTTGCTGAAGAAATTGGGCCTAAAATATTACCAGATCGCGAAGACCCTACTTGTGATTCTAGAGTCTCTATTTTTCTTAGAGCAAGGTAGTTTATAATTCCTCATAGAGGTGCGCTAAAATATCGGTTGCCTATTGGATTGGCACTGATAAAAGGGAAATGTACATTATCAGCTATCAGGGTTTTTTGGGCTGTTGTAGCTGATTTAATGTTCTCTGTTAATTATGCCTTCTGGCCAGGTCCCCTGGACACCTGGGTTCCCTCTTGCCCACAGGGTTGGGTCCCCTGGACACCTGGATTCTCTCCCGTGAGTCGGGGTGACCCTGCATACACCCCCATCCTGTCACCGGCAGGCTGGGCTGGAGTGGAGGAGCTGCTGCGGTGCCCCAGGTGCTGACACAGACTGCGGGCTGGGGCCAGGGCGGGCACTGTAAAAGGTGCTGAATGCTGCAGACCTGACGGGTGGGGAGGGGCTGGCAGAGCTGAGCTGTCCAGCCCAGCATGACTCAACCCGCAGTTAATATTGGTTATTGGATTGGTATCAGTCGATATGGCTGGTTAATATCCGTAGCTGGTTATCCACCAAGAACATCTTTATTGGTGCACTCCTAACTCCTTGCATTTTTGGTTTGAATAAACTTGACCTCAGTTTAACTTGTTCCAGGTGGAGTATATTTTGAATGCCAGAACTTGGAAACCAGGTTGAATCCTTTGTTGCCTAATGTCTGTGATTTGGCCCAGTTTTTCATTAATAGCAGTTTCCTGGTAGTACCAGTGTTCTTGGTTGCGAGGATAGGCTAAAAGGTTGAGTCCCAGCTGTGTGTGTTGTCCTCTCCTCGGATTTGTTTGTCAGGCAAGAGTACTGCAAAACTTTTTGCTTTTTTGAATTCCCACTATTGATGTGAGCAGGCAAATGTAAACACTTGGAGTCCTCCCCAACAGTGACCTGTAAGAAGTGACTATTGTCTTGCTCCCTCTGCTGTTAATTCTAGTTTGTGGCCTCCCCAGAACCAAAGCGGCAAGTTGGGATGTCTGCTTCATTTCACTAGTTCTAGGAAATTCAACTGGACTGAGCTCTGTGTCTTTTACCAGCATCTCTTGGCCCAGAGCATAGTGGGTTTTTTGTAGCGTGAGCCTGTAGCTGTCAAACTGTGGAGCATTGCTGAAAACAGATCCTTCTGGAGGCTGAGCTTACTGGAATACAAATCTTTACGTGGTTTTGTTTTTGTTTTTTATGTGAAAATCCACGGGTGGAGAAGTGATTCTGGGAATTGCCATCTTGGTCACTGGGGTGGGAAGCATCAGCATCTTCATGTATTTGGGGTTAAAGTGTCAGATTTCTGGCTAGCAAGCTTCTTTAGGTAGATGTGATATCTTTTATTAGACCAACTGAGTAGTTGGAAAGAAGTTCTTGGCAAGCTTTCAGGCACAAGCACCCTTCTTCAGGCATAAGGAGTCTCTGCTTTTCTAAGATCTCTGGCTAGGATCTTCAGCAAGGTCTGTACTTTAATTCCAAGTCCAAGTGATGCTGTTACTTGTGGACTTTTTTTTTTCAACCAGCAATGAAAACTCCCCTCTGCACTTGCAGAGCAGAAGTGAGTTCAGGATTCAGTACAAAGTTTAGTACAGCTAACCGTTTGCATGTATGTGGGGAAGTTTTAACCAGTGAGTGGGTTGAGCCTAAGTATCCAGCTTTTGTCAGAGCTGAAATTTTTCCAGACCTCACTAGCTGCTGCATGTGCTTGCAACACAAAGATGCAATGCTTTTTGTTGATCCTGGTTCACTTTTGAGGTTAGGGGTTTCACTGCAGAAGCTATTCAACACCCTTTGTTTCCCTGGGGAAATTGCTGCACTAGTACTTTTGAGTATTTGGTTTTGCAGGCTTGTTCAAATACCAGATGTAAACAACTGTTTGGAAGCTGTCTACAAGGAAAACCAGAGTGACTACATTTGCTGACAGGCTCCTGTTGCATGCATGGTCAATGCATGTATTCTTCTCCCTCCGTCTGTTCATCAAGGAAGAAAAAAGTGTTATTGAACTTGTACAAAATAAAAATCTGAGTTAAGGGCCTCTTAAATGACTGATGTGTTGGTGACCAGAATCCCAGAAGATAATGCTTTTGTGAAATAGTTTTTGGCCAGTGAGCCTAGGTGTATGCTGTTCATTTGGTTAACTGATAGGCAGCACTAGAATTGTTTCAGAAAACCCATTTTATGAACTAGAATGTCTTTGGCAGAAACGCATCTAATGCTTCATCAAAATTAGAACCATTAAATCCAAACTGCCTTCCTTGGTACACACTCTTAGAAATCCCCCAGTTATTTCCTGATACAGTTTTCAGGAACCTCCATTGCTGGACCACAGCTCTGTAACTGTGTTCATAAAGATGTATCATGTTTTTGTAGCAATCTTATGTTTGATGCTGCTTAAATAGAGGGTTTCTGCAGTTGGAACCAATGTCTCTGAGGGCTTTCCTTCTGAAGATGGTATGAGTACAAACTGAGGTAAAGCCAGACCTCTGGGCTCAGTGTTACCCCATATCTGGCTAAGGAAATATCAAGTGCAGGTTTTAACCAGGCTATTAAAATGATCTTGGAATACTCTGGGAACAAAGTGCCACTTGCATGTCAGCTTGGGTAGTACATGGCATTTGTAACGAGTCAGGATATTTGTAGTCTAACATACCTTCGGTGACCTCGGAAATCACACAAGGATTTTGGAGTGGCGGTGAAAGAGAGGAAAGAGCAAAAAGGGGTTTTAAAACACTTAGAGTTATGCACACAGTCTAGTGTTTGGTGATATCAGCTTAGAAATCCAATCTTACTTCAAATTACTGTACTAACTACCTGATACTTATACCTCTTAGTGCTGCGGTGGAAACACCTGGCACCTGTAGCCTTGACTCCAGTTGGTGACTTTTTTTTCTAACAAATAATGGTTTTTAAATGCTTAATGCCTTAATTGTTTCAAGTGTACATTTCTTTCCGTCATCTCGTCTGAAAAGCTTGATGAGATTGTAGATGTAAAATTAAAGTGGGGGAAGGCCAGGAACTCAAGGAAGGTTCTTAGCAAGTGCTTGTTTTATCTCTAAGGCTTGAGTTTTAAAAACAATTTTTGTTGCTGTTTTTACAGGTCCCTCAATATAAACCACCATGGCTCAGAGAGATGTCGATAAGTATCTTTATGTGGACAAAAACCTCATTAATAACCCCCTGGCTCAGGCTGACTGGGCGGCCAAGAAGCTGGTATGGGTCCCATCAGAGAAGAACGGGTTCGAGGCAGCCAGCATTAAGGAGGAAGCAGGTGATGAGGCCGTAGTGGAGCTGGCTGAGAATGGGAAGAAAATAAAAGTAAACAAGGATGACATCCAGAAAATGAACCCACCAAAGTTCTCCAAAGTGGAAGATATGGCAGAGCTGACTTGCCTGAATGAGGCCTCTGTACTGCACAACTTGAAGGAGAGATACTACTCAGGGCTCATCTATGTAAGTTAAGACTTTTTTTTTTTTTCCTTTGAGCTCGGACAAATGGCGTAAATGCTGAAGCCAACTCCAACATATACATACGTTAATGCCAAGCTGTCCTGTGGAAAACCATTGTTGCTTCCGTCTCTCAATGCTCAGGACTTTCTCCCTGAGCTAAGCCAATCCCTGTAGTTAGAGTGAAGCTTTCAAAGAATGCTGTGGGGAGATGTTTGGCTTTTTGGCATTTGGATGTCTTTGTTTGGAGAATATGTTTTGAATACCATTAACTTGCTTTTGGCTAAAAAAGAAGAGACACTGAAAAGCAGTAAACAGGAAGCCTGATCCAAACTGAGCTAAACAAGAACAAAACCCAATCATGTATACCTAACATCTGGCTTCCTTTTCCCACGTCTGCAAACCTCAATGGGAGGGAGCATAGTGCCAGGCTGGAGTTTTAATCTCTGTCTGAGATTCAGGCTTTCAGAATGTGTGTCCTAATCTCTAGTACCAAATGCCCTTTGTCTACATGTATTTGTAACTGTAATGAAATCCACGTAACTGGCAGGTTCTCTTCCCATTCTCCCCCCCCCCCCCCCCCCCCCCCCCCCAAAAAAAAAAAAAAAAGAAAGAAAGAAATGGAGAACAGCACAATGCTGTCATTGGCCTGCTTCCCTGGAAATGGCAAAGGTATCTGTACATAATCTGGAGTCATAAGGTATAAAGATTGGTTTTGCATGGACATCTGTATGTGCACTAAAGCTACTCTGTACCTTTTGGATAAGGCAGGATAGAAATCTCACTTAAATTGGAGAATAAAGATTTGGAATCTATACTGATTCTGCAGTTCCTGTTCAGACCTCTGCATTTAACAAGCAGATGGTATGCAAGGTTTGATCCTTGACAGCCTCAGCTTTAACAGAGACTTCTGGGGACATAAGATGATTTTGTCTCTGCAGTAATGTAGCAGTTCAATGCAGAGACTGCTTTTGAAGAAACGGATTCCAATTTTGTTTGGCTCCAAACTAGTTCCTGTTTGCCATTGTAGAATTACAGCACGGCTGGTCAGGGCTGGCATCGGAGGAGGCATTACTGGCAAATCCTGGCATTCAGTATCTCTTAGAAGCACAAAGTGGATTCTTTAGTGTTCTGTGTGCACACCTCTCTTCACCTCCCCCTCATTGTAGTCCTGGAAGAAAATCAATCTAGATCTTCTATAGTTCCAAGAATGCAGAAAAAACACACTTGCCGTTTTCTTTTCCACAACTTCCTTCTCCATTTATTTCCCTTATCTGACGTCTCCAAATGTCAGGAGTCTGGCTCTGACAATATCCTTCCGATAGGATATTTTAGATACCTGCTGCCTAATTACCCAGAGAAAAATAGTTTCAATAGCCAGTTTCTGTGAAAGGGCATAAACTGGATTGGCAGCCCCAGTGGAGATGAAGTGTCCCATCCTGGATAGCACATGGCAGGAGCTCACTCATGCTATGTCTCTAGAATCAGCTCTTTCCTGGCTGATTCTGTGGCCACTTATGACCCTCCAGGAAAATAAGGCAGACAAGCACCTGCTACAGAATGGATATTTTTTTTTTGTAAGGGGGAGTACCTTGAAGTGCAGAGTTGGTGTTAAACCTCTCTGCCAACCCCACGACCTGTCCCTGGTGTGGGGAGTTCTGAGGGAGGTGATAGGTTGGACCTCTTGCACTGGGTCTTTCTGGGTTACAGAATAATTCTGTTGTTGGTTTTTGTATGTAACCCCTGCTGCCCCCATCCCTTTGCACCCTCACAGTTGGGGTTGGTGGTACTTTGTACTGCTGAACAATGAGTATATATGTTTTCCCCTCTTCCTCCTTATAAAGCCACCAGATAATGTTTAAAATAGATTTTACATCTTCTAGATAAATTATTTGGAATAGGAAGCCATTATCAGGATCTGCAGCTAATGGTAGGAAGTGTGTTTAAACAAGGATGGGAAATATATATCCCGTCATATGCTTTATGATGGCTATTTCACAGGTCTTGTGAGATGTCCTTTCTGTTTCAAAGAGTTACCCCTGTGATTCATGAGTATAATAAACAGGGGGTGGGTGGAATAACCCATTTAAAAGTGGGTAGAAGGAGGAAACCCAGCCTAGCAACGTGCTGTTTTGAGAAAGATGGTCCTGCCAGTCTGGCCTAAAACAGGACTCTGCCCACTTATGAAATGAGCTGGCCAGACAGACTAGCGATTCTCCTCAGTCATGAGATTAGGGTGAAGGGCTAAAATCCTTTTGGTTGCACTGGACAGTAGCTGGGCACTAATCCTAGAGAAGAAGAAAATAATGGCAAACTACCTCTGGTATGAAGATGTCTGGAAAGGTCATAAACACAACTCAGCTTTGTTCTTGGCTCCTCTCTCTCTTTCCTGCTGGTGGGGCTCTCTTTCTGAGATGCATGGAGGGTGTTTCTCCCTATCCTTCCTGTGGAGGGGGTTGGGAAAGCTTGAGGCTAGGCTTGCAGCAGGGATCAGATGTTTGAGCAGGGAGTGGCAGACAGTTCAGGAACTTAACTGCAAATCAGTGTCACAGTCTGAAGAGTGCTTGCAGCAGGCTGATGGACTGACTGATGGTTAAACTATCTGCCTTCCATCTCTGAACTGAGCTTTGCTTTGCTTTGCTTTGCTTTGCTTTGCTTTAGCCTTTACCCCATACTTAAACATTTTCTCTAGCTCATCTAGCTTATCCTTCTTGTGCCTTCTGGGTTCAGAGCAGAACACCAATCCTGGCACCTTATGTCTGTTCCAGTTCAGCAGACACTTTAGCAGTGCTGACAGACCTTGGGGAAAATCTATTCCTTCCCAATTTGCTCTTTCAAGTCAAATATGCTTGATCTATTCTTCCTATTAGCCCTGCAGAGAGAGTTTTACTACTGAGAATGGAACCAGATTCGCATCTGCCCTGTGCATCAATTGAAAACATTGATTAAGTTTAATTTCAGAATTGCAATAGGAGGCAGTGCTGTAAGAAACAAGGTTCACTTGATGGACCTGCATTGGGGAGAATCTGTTGGGTCTGTCACCTTAGCTTGCTAACCACTCAAGTCTAAACACGGGCTTGGTTCCTGTATTAAAATGAATGCAAGAGGCTGGGTGTGACCCTTGTTATCCTCAAAAGGGCTGGCAGCCTCTTTGGGGCATAGATGAGACTGGAATAAGGGAGCAAGTGAGATCACTCTGTTGGGACTGCTGAGCAGCACAGCTCTGCCAATGCACTTAATTTTTGAAGAGGCAAGGAGCAGGCACAGTGGAACTAGATCTTTTCTGTGAATGCAGATATGTAAAGGATAAAATTAACCTCACCCTTGCATGTGTCTCTTTGTCTCAGTTTGACTGTACTGCCAGCAAGGCGATATTTAGGTATTGGGAGGGGTGGGGGAAGGAAGTAGCTTGTTCTTTGCTTCTGTGGTTTGATGGTCTTAATGTTCTTGTTTCAAACTGCTGCTGTCCCTGTATTGCTGACTGCTTCTCTCCAGCTGCAGATCTTTAGGCTATTCTTGCTTGGGAAAAAAGGGACAGGCCCATTTCATCAGGAAACACTGCACTATAGGAAGCTGTATGAATGCAGCTTCAAATAGCTTTTAATTTCAGAGCTGAATCTTCCAACATTACTTGCTTTTTTCTTCCGCTTGCCCCCACCCACCTGAAAGAAAGTTACGTTTCTGCTTCTTTGACTTATTAGCATCTCTGCCACATGCCAAGGTAGTGTGTGGAAACATACTGTTCTCCTTATTGGGAGAGACTAAACAGGACATATCCTCTTCTGGCTTATTTCTGTTTGCACTATGCACATAGCTGCCATAATGGCTTTGAGCAAAGATAGATATGAACAAAAGAAACAGCAGCAAAACTTCTGGCCTAAAGCATCTTTTTTTTTTTTTTTTTTTTTTTTTTTTTTAAGATCTCCAGCAAAAATACCTGTCCCTTAGTAGTTCCTATGTCAGCCCACACCCGTGTCTGATTATAAGGAGAGTGGTGGCAGGGATAGTGAAACAACGCTCCACTATGGCTGCTCTTGTATCTAAGTTGTACCAATGTGGTCAAAGCTCAGTCTGCTCTCTGCTGTGTCAGACGTGGTGCGAGAACCAAGGGCAGTGTCTGCTGGGTTTAGTGTGCTAGAGCCAAATCGGCTCATGAAAATTTAACATGTACTTATGACAGTGGTTTGTTTTCAAGTCTGGCCATGTTATCCATCAATAACAGTGTCACTTAATATCTGTTCTGCTTTAATAAGCCAGTGCTAAGGAGCTAGCTTTACCTACCTCATGTAGGTTCTCATAGATCCGTAGATGCATAGATGTTAGGGGCTGGAAGGTACTGTACAAGATCATTGAGTGGTCTTTCAGCTGCTTCTTTTTAATTTTTTTTTTGTACATTATTTAAAGAGTAGCTTCCTGGTCTTAGTTGTCTTAATTCTGAAGTCACTTCTTAGACAGAAAAAACCTTTTGGCCATATTGTCTTCTGAGGTCTGACTGGAACAAAGGTGTACATATCCATGTGCAGATAGCCGTAGTCAACACACAGTGTGCATACCTGA